GGTACATACATACAATGGAATACTACTCAGCCAGCAGGGGAAATGAAATCTTGATACACACTGCAGTATGGATGGAGCCTGAAGATATTATGCTGAGTGAAATAAGACCATCACGAAAGGACAAATATTGTATGACTTCACTTATATAAAAAGACAAGAAAAGGCAAATGCATAGAGACTAAAGTTTATTAGTGGTTACCACAGGCAGGAGGAAGGAGGAGAAGGGAGGTTAACGGTGATGGAAATATCACATTGATTAAGGGTAGGGCTGCACAGCCTATTATTGTAATTGCTGCCAATAAGTTGTACACCTGTAAAAAGCTGAATTGGCAAAAGTTGTGTGATAGCTATATTTACAACGACAAAAAAAAAAGTAGCTGCTGAGGCTACTTATGTACAACCAAATACCTCATGGGATTTGGTTCCTTGCTTTAAGGTTTAGGGTTATGGTTTCATGGGACATCCCAGTTAATTGGCCTAATAACATGTTTAGTGCTTCTGCTCTACCTCTTGGTTCACTACGTAATGCCTGGGGTCCTAAAAGCTTGCAAGTGGACATCCAAGGCACAACAATTGGTCTCTATTCACCTGGAGCAACAGAGGAAGAAGGAGAGTCAGGGACAGGAGGAGGATATGGAATGTGTGGCTAACTGCCTCCATGAACAACTGTCTCCTTCGCTCTGAGACCAGAAGAACTGGAGGGTGCCCAGTTACCATGACTGAACATTTTGATCAAATATTCCATAGAAGAACCCTAATCAAAAAGAGGAAAATGCAGAACAGAATTTCAGATTCTCATGGACTCTAGACTTTCTGGAGCCATGGTGGGTGGATGAACTCCTGAAACTATTGCCCTGAGAAAATCTTTAAACCTTAAACCAAAAATAGCCCCTGAAGACATCTTAAAACTGAAGAGTTTAGCTTACCCAGTAAAAAATGTCTACCTTGAGCATTATGCTCTTTTTAATAACTATCTATCAAATAGACAACAGTAATTTGGAAGATTAGACAGGAACCTTAGGGGACAGTGAGTTTATGTTAATGAGGGAGGAACAACTCAGAAAAGGAGGATGAGAATGGTTGCACAACTCAAAAAATGTAATCAATATCACTAAATTATACACGTAGAAACTACTGAATTGGTGTACGCTTTGCTGTGTATATTCTCAACAACAACAAAATATATAAGATTTAGAGAAAAAAATCGTGTGTACTTTTTTAAGTTTAGAAGGATATAGCAAAACTCTTCAAAGTAGTTATCTCTGAGGAAAAAGGCAGTGATTTTTTTTTGGCAGGGGATGGGTATTTTCCCTTTCTTTGTTTCTTTTCTCTGTTACTTTAAAAAATCACTTATTTTTAACATAGATGACATATGCATGCAGTAAAAAATGTAAATAATACATAGAAGATTTACTATGAACAGTAAGTCTTCCTCCTACCCCCGTTCTCCTTCCCAGAAGCAGCCACTCCTACTAGTTTCCTATGCAGCCTTCTGGGGTAGTCTATGCCTTTACAAGCACAGAACTATATATTCTTTTCTGTTTTTTAAACAAATGTGCTCTGCTCCGACCCTTGCTTATTTCCTTTAACATATCTGTGGCAGGCTGAATAACGGGCCCCTGTGTCCTAATCCCCGGAATCTGTGAATATGATACTTTACATGGCAAAAAGGAAATTTGCAGATGTGATTAAGTTAAGGATGTTGAGATGGGGAGATGATCCTGGATTATCCGGGTCGGCCCATGTAATCACAAGGGTTCTTATAAGAAGAAGGCAAGAGGGTCAGAGTCAGAGAAATGCTACACTGCTGGCCTTGAAGGTGGGGGAGTGGCCCACGAGCCAAGGAATGTGCGCTGTATCTAGAAGCTGGAAACGGCAAGGAAACAGATTCTCTCCTAGAGTCTCCAGAAGGAACGCAGCCCTGCCAACAACTGGATTTTAGCCCAATGAGACTGATTTTGGACTTCTGATCTCTAGAAGTGTAAAATAGTAAATTTCTGTTGTTTTAAGCCACCAGGTGTGTAGTAATTTGTTACAGCATTCATAGACTAATACAATATCTCAGAGATCACTGTATATCAGTGCGTTCTAGATCAAGTACACCTGTGGTAATGGCCGCACAGGACCCACTGCAGGAATGTCCCTTCATCTGTTCAGTCCCACCACCAAAACCTGTTGCCCTCAAGTCGATTCCGACTCATAGCAACCTAGTAACCAACATTTACGTTGTTTCCTAATCTTCTACGGCCCCAGTGTTCTAACAAATAACCCTACACATCATGTGATCCTTTTATAATTAAAAAATAAAATATTACCATTTTGAAGAAAATATTCACAAAGCCTAAAGAAAAAAAAAGTTCTTTCTTTCCCCACATTCTCTAACCCAGGGCAAGAGCAAAAGGGACCTTCAAAGAGTTTACTGCTGGTTGACTGATGGAGCAGCTACTGTAACCAGAGTTCGGCTTGGTACGTTCCCAGTTCCAGCCTCTGGGGGCCCTCACTGCCTCTCGCGAGATGGGCTCAAGTGGAACCATCACCATAAGTAAAGGTGAAAGGAAGAATTAAGGTGCCCTGGAGAGTTCCCCCACCTTTGCAAGACAGGAAATAGAAACAGGAGACACACTTAGAAAAACATCCAGCTTCACTAATTCAGGAGACACATAATTAAAAAAGATCATGCCCTTCCCATTAAACTAAACAAAACAAAAATAATAAAACCCAACGCTTGTGGTGCTATAGGAAAACTTGCACATTTTGCTGAGAGTAATCTTTCTGAACAGCCATTTGGTAAAAAGAGGCAAGTGCCTTCAAAATGATCACACCCGTGACTTGAAGACATCAGTTTGGGAACTATACCTCAAAGAAGTCATTTGACAGCAAAAAATGCACAATTTGGACAAAGATATTAAAGCCAAGCTAGGTATTCTGGCTAACTAAAACCTGGAAACAGCCCATGTGTCCACTTTCAGGAAAAATGAGAAAGACAGTATTCGTTAAAAGGAACAATAATTCTGAGATCTATGTTGAAATGTGGAAAGAAGGATGTTAGGCAATGATACGTAAAAAAAGTAGAACTCAGACGGTTGTGTAAACTGCTAGCAACTGTACAAAATTATCTGAACACTTACTATGTGGCAGGCACTATGCTGGGCCCTGCAAAACCAGAGGTGAAGGGTAAAAAAAAAGGTCAGGGCCCTGGTGGACTGATGTTTTAGCAAAGGAGACAATAAGGAACAAGATAACATCACCCAGGGCTAAACACTGGGCAGAAATGAAAACAAAGTAATGGGATAGAGAGCAGGTGTGTGTGTCTCCTTCAGCTGGGGTGGTCAGGGAAGACTCCTGAGGAGGTGACACTTATGGTGCTCCTTGAATTACAAGGGGGTAAGAAGATTGCAGGGTAAAGCAATCCTGCCAGAAGGAACAGCATGAGCATAGGCCAAAGAGGGAAAAGAGCTGAGCACGTCTAAAGAAGAGCAAGGAGGCCAGCGTGACTGCAGTGGACCGTGGAGAGACAGGCAGCAGCAGGAGATCAGCTGGGCAGGGCCCAGTCATGTAGAGGCTTGGTAGATAATGCTGAGGATTTGGGGGTCAAGGGTGTCACAGGGAGATCAGTGGGGAGGCAAAAGATGATGGTTGCCTGGACTTGGGAGTTGAGGTTGGGATGAAGATGGGTGGTCAGATTCAGGATATGCTTGGAGGTAGAACTTGCTGATGGCCTAGATGTGGGGGCAAGAGAAAAAGATGAGTGGAGATGGCACCAAGATTTTAGCTTGAGCGACTAGGAGGGGAGTGGGTTTTGGAGCAAAAATATTTTGGGATTTCTCCTTCTTGCTAACCAGTTGAGGGGGAGGGCTTGGGGATGGCAGAGCAGTTCTGGAATTGTGCAAGCCGCAGCTCAAAGATTTTCAAAACCCTACCCTCAACTCACTCTGGCGGAGCTCAAAGGCTGGGCCCAGTCTCTCCCCCAGGGGAGTCAAATGAGGAGAAGTCGCTGCCCCCAGCCTTGGTTTTACTCAAGATGCTTTCAGAGGCTGGCGGGGCTGTCCGAAAATACCGCAGATCTCAGAGTGCCCTGACCAACCTGAGGTTAAAGGTGCCCAGAACAGAAAAGTGCTTTCAGAGGGACGGGATGGAGTGGAGGGGGGCAACAGGCACTGGGCTATGCCGACAAGAACCATTTCATATCATCTTCTCCACGATCCTGTGAAGTAGGTACTTACTGTGCTTAACCCATGGGGCAGATAAGAAAACTGAGGTTTAGCGAGGCGAAGTCACACAGCTAAGCCTGCAAGAGCCCTGGCATCCAGTGGAGGGAGATGCCAGATAACTGCCTGAGGGGCTCCTGGGTGAGGCTCCCTGCTCCAAACTGCACCTCCTCTGTCCTGGGGTTTAGCCCTGGACATTATGCTCATTATGCTGCCCTCCTCAGCATCCTTTGCCCCACTAGGTGGGTGTGTAAAGTATTTCCTGGTGAAGGATTTGCTGCCCTGGGGGGTTCCTGGTGCAGGCACAGTGCCTCCCTCCCTTCCTGATGGGTAAGCTCCTCACTTCAGCCTCCTCCTGGGACACCCAGCACTGCCTGTACCACCACTTCTCTCCATGCAGTTGGCAGGGCAGCGATGATGGATAAAAGGGCTTACCGGTTTACACAGACCTGGTGGAGGTTCTGGTCGGTCTCCTTTGGCTGTGTGACTTCAGTCAAGTGACCTGGCCTCTCTTGGTCGCCTCACCTGTAAGGGGGAGATAAAGATTGTACCTACCTCACTTCATTGCTGTGAGGAGTGTGATGAGGTGAAGGCACCTGGCTCAGGTAAGCCCTCAAAACACAAAAGGGAGATTCTTAACAACACGCCCATTTTCCAAGAGAGATAACCGAGGCAGAGAGGCTCTTCCCTCCAGGTCCCGCAGGGGCGTCTCAGGCTCTCCCCTCCATTGCACCCCAGCACCGCCTTCCTCGTTGCCCTTTGCATTGGTCTGCGCTGGGAAACGCTAGAAGCGAGGGCGACTGGGGCCGGGGTCCCTCTGGGATTCCGTGGGGCCTCGGACAGGATGGCCTTAGCGGCAAGGGGTCAGCGGCGGGGATGGGAGCTTAGCTCTCTTCAAAGTGATCGGGCCGGGGGGCCTTGGAGAAGGAACTGCGCGCCAAAGGGGGGCGCCCCTCGCCGCGGAGCACTTACCCTGCGCCCCGCCCGCCTGCGGCCACTGCAGCAACTGGAGACTGGCTGCGCCCCGGGCCGCCCCGCTCCACCCTCCTCCCGCCCCGCTCCGCCCCCGTCCCGGGCCTGGTCCCCTCCATCCTCCCTCTAACTCTGCGTCTCCGTTTCGACTCTTGGTCTCTATCTCACCTCCTGTCTGTGTCTCTCTCCTTGTACTGGCCTGTCTCTTTGTCAATCTTCCTGTTTGTCTCAAACTTTCCCCGCGCCGCTCGCCCTCCCTGTCCTGGGCTCGGGCCTCCTGGAGTCCTCCAGATGGCCAAAGGTCTCGCCTGTGGGAGAGAATCACGAGAATCCCGCACCCAGGCGAGCCTAAGGGAAGGGGTGGGAGGAGGGAACCACTTCCTTCCTCCGCCTGGACAGGGGAGGGGGAAGCCACCCCGCCCCCTCAAGGCCACGAACACTTTAGGGTAGCTAGGCCTGCCTTCTGGCAGCCCACCAACCCGTCCCAGGCCACCCTGAGTCTGAGACTCCTGATTCCTTAGGGGTGGCCGAGTGGCCCTGCTGATCCCCCGAACAGTATCGGGCATGCAGCGGATGGGGGGTGGGCACCCTCAGTCCTTCAGCGCTCCCCTGGATGGGGGCTGAGGCTGGTGGTAAGCGGGGGTACCCTGCTCAAAGCCTATGGCAACAAGAGGAGAAGCCTTCCTGCTGGGAGGCTGGGCCCCCTTGATCCTGGCCAACTCCTCCCTACCTTCTGGGCCCAGCGCTAATGGTCCTCCCCTGTGGGCCCTCCCTTGCCCAGCTTCTGTTCATACCTCATTTCTGGTGCTGCTCACACCTGGCATCAGTTGTTCTGCCAGCCTCTGCCTTCCAGGAAGACCACTTGTCCCAAGCTTCCCAACGGCAGAAGCCATCTCCTACCCACCTCTCAGATTCTGGTTTAGTGCCGGTGGTGGTGTTGGGGGGGGGGGTGTCTCAAGTCTTTGGGGAATACATTTGTTTCCTATTGCTTCTGCAACAAATTATCACAAACTTAGTGGCTTAAAACAACATAAATTTATTCTCTTACAGTTCTGGAGGTCCAAAGTCTGAAATGGGTCTCACTAAGGTAAAAGCAAGGTGCTGGCAGGGCTGTGCTCCTTCTGGGACACTGGGGAGAATCCAGTCCTTGCGTCTTCCAGCTTCTAGAAGCTGTCTGCACTCCTTGATTTATAGCCCTGAATTACTCCAACCTCTGCTGCTTCTGTCATCACATCTTCTCTGACTCTGACCCTCCTGCTTCTCTTTTAAGGACTCTTGTGATTACAGTGGAAACCCTGGTGGCGTAGTGGTTAAGAGCTACGGCTGCTAACCACAAGTTCAGCAGTTCAAATCCACCAGGTGCTCCTTAGAAACTCTACGGGGCAGTTCTACTCTGTCCTATAGGGTCACTGTGAGTTGGAATCAACTTGACGGCAATGGGTTTGGTTTGGGTGTTTTGTGATTACGTTGGGCCCACCCCAATAATCCAGGATGCTCTCCCCATCTCAAGACCCTTACTTAGCTTAATCACCTCTGCAAAGTCCCCTCTGCCATGTAACTAACATATTTACAGATTCTGGCAAATAGGTGTCTATCTCTTGGGTGCTGTTTCCATTAGCTTCTACTGACTCCACTTTTCCCAAGCCTGCACCCCTGACCCCCCCTGCTGGGCAGCAGGCTTTCTTAAAACATCTCTCTCTGATCTTCTGACTCCTCTGTACCGTTTCATTATTGTGACAGTCCCATTCTGGCCCCCAAGGCGTAGTCGGGTCCATTTTAAACTTCAACTTTGTATTTTACTAGACACTCCCCTCCGCCCCCAGCGCCAGCTAGACAGAGTGGAGAGGAAGTGTGTACTGGCTCCCCCTGCCCCCTCGTCCCACCACTGCATTCACTCTCCTGGCACTGGGGAGGGGAAGAAAGACAGAACAGGTATGCCCTCACCTAACTGCCCACCTCAAAGCTCCATCCTTTCTGCTGGTCCTAACAACTGGCCCTGCCTGCAGTTTTAAGCTTAATATAGACAGGTGGTGGCCTCAGCAGGCCCTACTAAGGCCAGGCTCAAACCCTGGCCCGGACTTATCCTCTGTCCGACCCCTGCTGCAAGCATCAGTCTTCTTCCCAACTGCTGGCCTTGTTACTCCACGCAATGGTCCTAGGATAGCCTGCAGCTCCCTGCCTTACTTATGCCTTGGGGCCACCAGCAAGGACTTATGTCCATACTTTTTGGAAACCAGGATCCCCAGGGAGCAGCTCAGCAACTCTGGAGAATTTAGTAACCTTGTTCTCAACAGTGCTGCTATCTACACAGTCTTCTCAGTGGACAGGAAAAGATCTCAACTGTGTTGTATGTATATCCCCAGCCCCCAGCACAGTGTGGCACATAGTAGGTGTTTTACATTCCTATTTAATAAATTAGCAAATGATTATTGAACATAATAATACAAGGATGCTACTTTTAAAAATTGCCTCTAAGATCCCAGCCAATGCAAGAAGAAACAAGAGGTACAAAGATTGAGAAAAGCAAAGACTATCATTTGCAATCAGTGTGATTGTCTACCTGGCGAATCCAAGAGACCCAACCAGCTAGAA